ACACACACACACACACACACGTACATACACACACACACACACACACGTACATACACACACATGTACATACACACACACACACACACACGTACATACACACACACACACACACACGTACATACACACACATGTACATACACACACACACACACACATGTACATACACACACACATGTACATACACACACACACACACACATGTACATACACACACACACACACACACACATGTACATACACACATGTACATACACACACACACATGTACATACACACACACACACACATGTACATACACACACACACACACGTACATACACACACACACACACGTACATACACACACACATACATACACACACACACATACATACATATACACACACACACACACACATACACATACACGTACATACACGTACATACACGTACACGTATACACGTATATACATACACGTACACGTATACACGTATATACATACACATACACGTATATACATACACATACACGTATATACATACACATACACGTATATACATACACATACACGTATATACATACACATACATGTATATACATACATACATACCCGTATATACATACACATACATGTATATACATACATACATACCCGGAGGAGTCGCCCCCTGATGGCCATTAGAACGAATGCAGTTTTAAGGCACTTCAGCATTGGCATCACATAACAATACTTCATCAACTCCAACTGCCATGTCCCAAATGTTCTCATATTAATGGATTTTTATTATTAAATATTTAATACCACATGTTCTATACAAGTAGACATTTTTTCCTCATGAAGCCGGGATTTGTCGATGTTTTTTATACTGTACTTTTAATGGTTTTGACTTCTTTCTTACTTTCTAATGAGTTTTTAGCATCTCAATCATAGCATACATGTTGCGTTCAGGAGCGTACACAGGTTGGTGTTGGAGGATGTTTACTACAGTAGTTCATTGTATGAAAATAAACAGTAAAAATCAGCATCACTGCATTTTGTTAACATATTTGTTTTCCGTTTCCCCTAAACACAGATGTGTGGATAGACATAGATAGATAGATAGATAGATATTCTACTAAATGTATTTTTCAGTTAGCTGTGTTACTTAATCTTCAACGTACCCTGAACTCTAGCCTAACTACCACGCGCACAAACTGAAGAATAACTGTCGTTTCATTCTACCAACCGCTGGAGTTAAACTAACGCTGGAGTTTAACGGTTCACTTCAGAGAGAGACAAACATGTCGGACAACATTGAGAATATGTGAGTTGGATTAATCAATGACTATTGTTATCTTTCTGTTGTTTCTTTGGGGGAAACAATCGGGGTTTGTGTTGAAGTCTGTTTACTGGGTTGATTGGGTTTAAGTTAATTAATTAATTAAATTAATTGATTAACTTAAAGTTAGTTAGTTAACTCATTGTAGTTAGTTAGGTTTAAATTAAACTAAAGTTAAACACAACACATTTAATGGGCTTTTAACACTAAGGTAACCCAACTGACACTAACGTTAGCTAACTTAAGAGACGTTGAGGTTATCCCAACTGACACTAATTTAGCGACGATATGGTTATCCCAACTGACGCTAATTTAGCGAGGATAATGTTATCCCAACGGACGCTAACGTTAGCTAATTTAGAGACGTTGAGGTTATCCCAACTGACACTACGTTAGCTAACTTAGAGACGTTGAGGTTATCCCAACTGACACTACGTTAGCTAACTTAGAGACGTTGAGGTTATCCCAACTGACACTACGTTAGCTAACTTAGAGACGTTGAGGTTATCCCAACTGACGCTAACGTTAGCTAACTTAGAGACGTTGAGGTTATCCCAACTGACGCTAACGTTAGCTAACCTAGAGACGTTGAGGATATCCCAACTGACACTAACGTTAGCTAACTTAGAGACGTTGAGGTTATCCCAACTGACGCTAACGTTAGCTAACCTAGAGACGTTGAGGTTATCCCAACTGACGCTAACGTTAGCTAACTTAGAGACGTTGAGGTTATCCCAACTGACACTAATTTAGCGACGATATGGTTTTCCAACTGACGCTAACGTTAGCGGTTATTGAAGACTGATAGGTAGCGTTAACATTATAGTTATTGGGTCACATTTTTAATGCAGTTAAATTATAAGTAACTTCACTTAACTTTTCTGAATAAAAAAAATCGTTTCTACACTTTCTGACCTCACACCTACAGAAAAGTCACAGTGCATAAATGTCTAAGCACAACTACAACAAACGAGTGCCAACGTTGGACGCTGGTTTTAACTTGCTAACTAGCTAGCATGCTAACGTTAGCTGCCGTAACCTTTAACTAGGTAACCAACGCTCGGCAAGTAAAACAACCGTTGGCGGACTGTCAACCTACCGTCTCGTGACGTTTGAGTTTCAAAAGAACACAGCCGTTGGACGCTAAACGGTAAACTGTGCTCTTAATGTCGTTGAACGTGTACAGCGCTGACAGCTACCCATTCATTCTCCTCACACACGTGGTGTTGTTTTCAGAGGAAGTCGAGGAGACACGACCAGAAGCGGAAGTACTCCATGAACTAGTAAACTCCCTTCGCTGACAAAGTGGATTCAAAGAGGAAGTACGGATGATTTGTAAATCTGCGTTTCACCTCCAGACGGTGCATTACTTTATGGTCACGTAAGCACGAAATCTCCCCAAAATATGAGAAAGCTTTCCTCCTAATGGAGCCTTTTGTAAATTAATATGACACCATGTTTGAGTTCTAGAAAGAACACAAGAAAGAAATAACACACTTTTCTCGTGAGCACAACAGCGGTGGAAGATGTATTCAGATCAGTATCTTTAGTACAAAAAAATAAATACCGAAATGTAAAATTAAAAGTCTTGTAATTACAATTTTATTTCAGTAAAAGTACAGAAATATTTACATAAAAATATACTAAAAGTATGAAAAGTTGTTTCATAAATGTACACATAAATTACGTCACTTGAACACAACTTTCCCTCAGTTCCAATTAATTTAACGTTTTGTTGGTAAAACAGGTTATCGATCTTGTAAAATAAACTGTTGGATTGGATCATAGGATTTTATATTATTTGCAAATTTCTATTTATTGAATTAGTTGTGTAATATGTGCATGTAGACGGAGTCCCCGCTTCACACAGAGCGCGTCCAATTAAATTAATTGACTACAGATTCTGACCAATGGGAGGAGAGACGGTCGCCTATAAATTACGATCTCAAGTCTTAAGCCTGACCGGAGATCTGCTGAACGCTGCTGCTTAGTGAGCTCCGCGGTCGGAACAATAGGGATATTTGTCTCAACACCAGGTAGCAATAGTCCTCAAATACGACAACAGGTATGAATAATATTTAATTTAACGACAAATTCCATCACACTGGCGAATAATCTTTGAATTTGATCGATTAAATGATTTCTGCTCGGTTTCATAGCCTTTTGAATATGTCAGATTTTCGCTAAAAAGATTAACGTTATCTGTTGGATTTTATGTTAATGGGATAATATAAAATAAAACAATGCATACGATTTCCCCTAAAATGTATCTGCTGCATATTTCTGCACCTGTTTAACCGCAATCAGGACACCGTGTTCACTGCAGGACGTTTCATCGTCACACGAGCTAAACGTAACCTCCATAATAATCTGCAGCAGACTCTGTTTGACTGTTCCTCACTGTTCACCGTGTCTCCCTCCATCCTCCGCCCAGGGATCAGCCATGCCGTTCGGTAACACGCACAACCAGGAGAAGATGAAGTACTCCTCCGATCAGGAGTACCCGGACCTCACCAAACACAACAATCATATGGCCAAGATCCTGACTCCTGCTATGTACGAGCGGCTGAGGAGCAAACAGACACCCAGTGGATTTACTCTGGATGATATCATTCAGACTGGGATAGATAACCCAGGTAAAAACAAAAACGGCTTTTCATCGAAACCGCCATCTGTTCTGCGCGTCTAATGGCCGCAGCGGCGCTGTGCGCTTTGTCCCTGAGAGCTTTGTGCACTGCGACCTTGTGTAGGGGATAAACTCTCTAACGTTAAGAGACATATTGAGAGCTGAGTCAGTTAGAAACCCTGTCAGCTTCCTCTAAATAGACCTCCATTATCACAGCATTTTACAAAGCTTTATAGCAAATGTTAAAGATTAGCAGTGTTGCATAATGTATGCAGGGCGGCAGTGGATAATCCATTGCTGCTTTCACTGTTTCATAACACGCACACGGCCCAGTGTAGATTAATCTGTCAACCCAATGGTGTTTAAACCATTCAGAGTGTTCAGGTGGACCTGGTCCCTGCACTGCAGCAGGGACCAGGCTCACCCTGCAGAATGTGCTTCTGTTTAGTGCTGAGAGTATGGCCAAGATGACGCTGAAGAAGCTGTCAGCTGAGGAAGACTTCCCAGATCTCAGTCAGCACAACAACCACATGGCCACGTTCTTAACCCTGGACATGTACAAGAGGCTGAGAGAGCTGGCTACACCCAACGGCTTCACCATAGATGGTGTCATTCAGACAGGGGTTGACAATCCTGGTACAGTAATGCAGCTCCATCCTGAGATGTGATGACACTCAGCACATTGAGTTAGTGAGGATGTGAAGTCAGTCTGTCCGCTGTGCCCTCTGTGACCCTGTTGCCTCTGTGTGCAGGCCACCCCTTCATCATGACCGTGGGCTGCGTCGCAGGAGACGAGGAGACGTATGAGGTGTTCAAGGAGCTGCTGGACCCCGTGATCGAGGACCGACATGGAGGATACAAACCTTCAGACAAGCACAAGACTGACATCAACCCTGCCAACCTGAAGGTAGCGCAGCCCTCTGTTCAGTTAACATGGCTGACTGTAATTCTGAACAGAGAAACTAACACGTGTCCTCCTCCTCAGGGTGGCGACGACCTCGACCCAGACTACGTCCTGAGCTCCCGAGTCCGAACAGGTCGCAGCGTCCGCGGCTTCTGTCTGCCGCCTCACTGCAGCCGTGGAGAGAGGCGTGCTGTGGAGAAGCTCTCCATCGAAGGTAAAGAAATTCTGTCAATTGATTCTGTCAGTGACTCAGCATGGACAGAAGCAATCTGTACCAAGTGCTCTGCATACAGATGGGTAGATGTGCTGATTCCTTTGTGTAGAGGGCTGTGGCCTGAAACGGTGATGCTCGGCATGATGCTGCTCGGTCTCCTTTGTGTAGCTGTGGTCGCCCTCTAGTGGTAGTACGAGGAATGACAACAGATTAGAGAACAGATTTGAATTTATGTATTGTAGATATTTCTGTTTGAATGTTGAATCTTCAAACTGATCTTTCCCTCCCTGCAGCTCTGGCCTCCCTGACCGGAGACCTGAATGGAAAATACTACGCCCTGAAGAACATGACGGATGCCGAGCAGCAGCAGCTCATCGATGACCACTTCCTGTTTGACAAGCCAGTGTCTCCTCTGCTGCTGGCCTCAGGGATGGGCCGCGACTGGCCCGACGCTAGGGGCATCTGGTGAGACTTTATCATCTTTATCGTCACACAACCGTGTGTGGTTTCTTTTGGGAGATTTAATTTGCAAAGAAACGAAAGAATATAATTATTTTTGTCTAAAGGCACAACGATAACAAGACATTCCTGGTGTGGGTGAATGAGGAGGACCACCTGCGTGTGATCTCTATGCAGAAAGGCGGCAACATGAAGGAAGTGTTCAACCGCTTCTGTACCGGACTCACCAAGGTGAGCAGGAAATGTGACGGTTCCGTTAACATGAGCGAGCCACTCTTAAGGTGTTTGGTTTAAATGAGCTGTACAAAGACCTTATCCTGTCTTATTGTGCTTAGATTGAGACCCTGTTCAAGGAGAGCAACCATGCTTTCATGTGGAACGAGCACCTGGGCTACGTCCTCACCTGCCCATCTAACCTGGGCACTGGCCTGCGTGCAGGTGTGCACGTGAAGCTACCCAACATGAGCAAAAATGCCAAGTTTGAGGATGTTCTCAAGAAGCTGAGGCTCCAGAAACGTGGAACTGGTTTGTACCCCTCATATTTCTCTTTATTCTATAGTAATATTTGTATGAATGTATTTTAAAACTGTTAAATGTCTTTATGTTCATCAAGACGACACTAAATCTTCTGTCTCGTCACCATCAGGTGGAGTCGACACGGCCGCTGTGGGCGGAGTGTTTGACATCTCCAATGCCGACAGACTGGGCTTCTCTGAGGTGGAGCTGGTGCAGATGGTGGTGGATGGAGTCAAGCTGCTGGTGGATATGGAGAAGAAGCTGGAGAAGGGCCAGTCCATCGATGACATCATGCCCGCCCAGAAGTAAAACCATCCCGACACAGTAACCTCTTTAACCCCCCCCCCCCCCATATTTGACTCTGTCCCTGAAACACTATCAGTTTGATTTGTTTGTGTATTTAAGGTGAAAAGGTTCCTGTGAGGATGGAAATAAAATAAAAACTGTTCCGTTTCAACTTGTGTGATTCTTTGATTTCTTGTGTAATATCATGAATCAACACATTCAGTGTTTAATGTTCTGACTTTTATGACAACTTGTAAGAGATGTTTAACATTTAGAAACTGTAGTTGAAACCTTTGGTTTAAACTAATCTGTAGACAACCTAGAACTACTTATTCAAACTGAAAGCCATTTGTCTCCAGGTCTTACAAACATCTGTCCCTGACTGCAGTGTGTTGGTTTAAAACTTTCCTTGATAAAGAACCTTCAATCATAACATAACTCTACCATTTTAGTTCAGTGTCCAGGGCCTCAGGTGCTACAGCACTGCATTATGGGAAATGAAGTCTGCAATGTTTTTGCAGCTTGACTAGTACCAAACCAGTAATCTGTTTTACTTTTTATGATCAGACTCATCTCTGCACTTAATGTGCTGTTATGAAGTTAAGACTTTAATATTAAACACCAATTCCAGAATAAACAAAGAATCAGTGTCCAAACAGAGCTCTGAAACCAAAGTGAAGATGTTTAAACCTTTAAAGGCTAACAGACTATGGCACAAACGATGAACACTATTTTTTTCAAAAGGTAAAGGTACCACATTTACCAAATGACTACTAAAACATGTCAGCGTTTCTATAACGTACACCTTTATTTAAAACCTTCCCTTTCTGATATTACTAAAACTTGTTTCAATCATTTTCTTTCAAACACTGAATACATTTAAATTCTGGAATGAAAACAAATGCAGCGTGAGCCGTTGAAGTTGACACTTTAATTGAGACATGAGTGACCCTTAACACGAACTCATCTCTACTTTTTAAACGAAATACAAAAGAAAAAAAAACAAAATGAGTATTGCAGTGAAGCCGTGTTGAAAGTAAAGATACAATATTTACACTGAAAACAAAATCGCTACGTACATTTTTTTCCAGGAGGAAAAACAAAACAAAAAAGATGAAATAAATAAGACTAGAAATGTTTCATTTTTTTGTCCACATTCACAGCATGACAAATCATATTCAACTCGTTAATGTCTGAACAGACTGAGATATTAGTAGGTAATTCACTGATTATTGCCAAAAGCCTTAATCTATACATTATAATATTCAATACATACTCTGTATTTTGTTTAAAAAAAAGGAGACATTTGGAAACTGCTACTTGGATGATTGTACAGCTTAAATACGTCTATATATATAGATATAGATGTATACTTTTAAACCCTTTTTGTTCATAGCTTTAATTCGTTGGAGACTTTGGAAGCAATGTTTTTGAAAGCGATGGATGATCCGGATATCCGTTTGAACCTGACGCCGTTGAGGGACAGACGGGGCAGCTTACAAACCTCCATCTCCCACTGGACCAGGTTCTCGGCTCGCCCGTCCCCGTGGACGCAAAGAAGCAGGAAACTCTCTTGCTGTTCGTAGTCGCAGTTGTTGGCATCGAGCACCTTGCGAATCTCCCGCATGATATCACAGGGCTCCATGGAGCTGGTGGTCCTCATACTCCAAGTGAATCTGAGGGAGCGGGGTTTACCGTCTTTATTTTCCCCTTTTTGATCCCCAGGTACATGGCGACTGTCAACAAAAACAGAGGTTTTAGTGTTTAGATTTGATTCAATGGTTTTAATCACAAGCTGCTTTGACTGTTTCACATACATTTCTTTCTTTGGTAGATTAAATACACATACGTGTGTATCAGTCATAGCAGCTCACCAAATTTAAAGGAATAGTTTGAACTTTGAGGGTTGTATTTGTTTTCTCGCCGAGAGTTTGATCAGGATATTGATCCCATCACAGGCACATTATGAAACTATGGGCTCCTGGGCACAGACATGCGTTTTATGTCTCTTTGTGGTCATTTAGTCCATCTGTGTCTCTGTAGTCATTCGGTGTCTCTCTCTCTGGTCATTTTGAGTCACTTTGTAGTCTCTGTTGTTTTGCATGTTTTTAATAGTCATTTTGAGTCACCTCATGACTTTGCAGCTGTTTTTTGTATCTTTCTACATGTTTGTTTGTAGTGGTTGTAGGTTTCCTTGAGTGGATTTTCTTCCTGGAAGACGTGAAACAGCTAACACGGCTCTCTTCCAGGCTAATAAACATACAGCTACCAATTTACATGTGTAAAAATGTCATGTTTAGGTTTAAGTGGACAATTTCTGTGCTGCGTTTCTCATCCAACTCTCAGCATGAAAGCAAATTTCCCAGAAAATCCTAAACTAACCCTTTAAACGTTATTGTGCTTGGTGTTGGTTTCCACTCACAGGTTTAAGCTTCACAAACAGTATCATTATTACATTCAAGTCACACAGCTCAGCCTTCGCTTTTACGGAGTTGTTTTTGTGAAGGCATTTATGTTATTTTAATACAAAATATCGTGTCTGCATTTTGTAAATATGGAACTCTCAAGTTCACGCAATCAACTGAGAAGAGCTCAAGTCCAACGAGACAATACGAGCTGATAAAAAGACAAACTCAAGGTCCAAGCTGATGGAAAAGGTCCCGTTTGTTTCCATACATTTAAGAGGTTTAGAACGTAATGAGACCAATAATCTAACCTTGTTTGTAATACTGAGTCTTTGAGGATTAAGTGTTTCTAAATATCCATATTCATTTTCCAGAAAAGCTGTGTGACTGTAAATGTAATGTAAACATCCATGCTGTTTTATTAACGGCAGTTCTTTTTGTTTACGGGAGGCGTTAGGAGCATTCCTCAGGTTGACAAGAACACAAACATGCTAACAGAGCAGCACTCCGGCTCAGCGCCATGCAAACAAAACAAGCCACAAATGCAACACGCTGGCTTCCAGACAAGAGAAACAAAGCAGAGAGGGCTTCCTATGAGAGGGGAGACGAGCAGACGAGGGCGAGACGAACGTTTAAAGGAGCAACGACACATTAAGAGAGAGGGGGGGGGGGGTACAGGTAACCTCACCTTGAGCCCTCAAGTCTCCCGTTTCTCTCAAACTCGGTTGAGACTCTGAGGAGCACGAGAAGATATCAGACGGGGACGAGGATGAAAAAAAGAAGAAAAAAGATGTGGATTGTGCACGAGAGATAGTTTCAGTATCAATAAAAAAGAGAAAATGTGACGAGTAAATAAGAAGGAGAGAGAAACAAACGAGCCGCCACCGGAAAACACAAAGAGACGGAAGATGTTTTACTTCCAGTGAAGAATCATGAGAATGAATAAAATCATAAAAACCGTGATGAATGCTCTCAAACTCAAACCAACAGTTCACGGAAGAAGGAAAGAAAAACACAGAAATCATCTGGTGAACAGCTGTTCGGACCCAAAACAGCAGAAAGACGACATCGACTACAGCCGACAGGTGAGACAGAGCGCTGAAGGTGCACTTTATTAAATATTAAGTCTCTAAAGAGAGATCCTTTTATTCCCTTCTTTTGGAGGTTTTTAAGTCCATTTAATGCATTAAAGTGGAATGAACTCTAGTTTCACAGGCCTTCTACTGAGCTTTCATCTGCATCTGAAGAGCTTAAAAACATACAGAGGAGGAGCTCCACCCACTGAAGGAAGACCATGAGATGCGGTTAAAAGCTCCAGTGGAAGGCGAGTAACAAAGCTTTGATGTCAAACGTTATAAACTGTTTAAAACCCAATAAAATGCATCATTTACGCATAAATCACGAGTTCTCTGAAAGTCTACAAGAATAATTCTTGAATATCATTCGAGATCTGAAGTTTCTTTAATTTAATGTTTCCTGATCAAAACTCTAGCTGTACATGTACCATCAATACTAAGGTTATACTACAACGAACACTGAAATATACCATTAGAGGATGTACATTTAGCTAAAGTCAGTAGATTTAATATCTCTGCATGTATTCGACCACTGAAGATAAAAAATGAAGATAATTATATTAAACTATTATTATTACGTGGAACTTTATATCCCACACTATTATATATTATGCTTCTGTTATGTCTTACAATATTATATTTTATTATTATATTAATACAAAACTATGTATCACTACATTTTTATGTTTACATATATATTTTACTTTTATTCTAGTTCCATGTACCTCATATTATTTTTATGTTTACATATATATTTTACTTTTATTCTAGTTCCATGTACCTCATATTATTATTATTTGCTTCCCTATAAATTAAAACGTAGTTATTTTTGTCTTTGTGCTGCTATTGAATATTTATATTTTTTATACATCAACGTGATAAAGTACTTTGATTTGTAGTTTATTAGCTCGATTTGACAAAAACTTGCATTTGTGTTTTTTCTCTCATCATAATTATCAAAATAAAATGACATAAACTGAGGCTTGTATCCATAAGGTTGACAGAATATAATAAAGTCAGCAGCACTATTAACTAACTGTAAACAGTCACAGGAAGACATCTGAGTAATATCACAAGAGATTAGATTTATAGAAAGTAAAATAAGCAGAAACGTCCCTGCTGCTCTCACAGGACGGGTTTATTGTTATCAGGCTCCCAGCATGCACTGCAGCCTGGAGGACGGACAGAAAACAAACAGGACGAGGGTGGAGGAGGAAGTGACTCGAAGCTCCCCGACAACAAGAGGACAAGTGAACAGACAGGACGGACAGCAGGTCCTGGGTCAGTCAGAGGGGTGAGGGAGGGTGAG